ATTAAAGTGGAAGAAAAGACTTGCGCTCTTTGCTGCCGCTTGAAGGAGCTACAGCGATCTGTCACGTCACATTTAAGAACGTCAAAGTGGCATTTATTGTTTGAATTTCGTGATAAAATGGACAGAATTTAAAAGCTGAGACTTCTTATCAGAAGTAACAAAGCACAAAGCTCTTTGTGATTATTGGATTGGAGGTGCGCTACAAATAATGTTTTTGCTTTTATCGGCTGATACCGAATTATTGGATAACGGTCCATCCCTAGTTTGTATTTTTTCTGTTTTTCTTCATTAATATATTATTTAATTCCATTCCCAGTGTCTCTTTCTCTCTTTTACAGATGTTCTTGCGCTGCTCCTCACAGATGTTCTGGCTTTCCTACAGGAGAAAGAGCAGAAGTTCGTCTTTGCCGCATTGGTACAGAAATCACACATTTAGACCCTATAAGAAATTAAAATGCTATTAATATCATATTAAAATCAAAAAGGTTTTAAATGTAATACTAAAATATGCTTTAAAATCAGTTTTAAATGTATTGTACTTCAGGAGCAGAAGCCATCTGTGATGCCCTTGCGAAGACTCATTGTGAGAGAAATAGCCAATCAGGAGAAAGGATTATTTCTCATCAGTGGCGATTACTCTGTGGGGCCGGAGATGTATGAGATACACACACAGACTCGTGAGGAGCGTAACACGTGGATGACACTGCTGAGGCAGGCCACTGAGAGGTGTGTTAGAATTCTTTACTTGTTTTGAATGACAGTCTGTACACTATCATTTAAAAGTTTGGGTCAGTAAGATTTTTTCATATACAGTAAGAATGATTTTAGATAATAAGTAATGGCGGCGGAAAATTGTGCTTTGCCTTCACAGAAATAAATTGTATTTCAAAATAAATACAAATAGGAAACCGTTTTTTAAAAATTGTAATAATATTTAACAATTTTACTGTTTTTACTATTGTATTTTTGATCAAATAAATGCAGCATTGAGTATAAGAGACTGAATTAAAAAAACATTAAATAGCTCTACCGATCCTAAACTTTGAATGGTGTATATTTATATTTGTTTCAGCCTTCCTGATGATCAGACCAAGAAGAATGAGGGGGAAATCAAAGTCAAGAAGATACAGAAATTACAAGGTAAACGTCCAATCATCTATCATCCATCTGTGCACGACTTTTTTGTTCCTAATGTCTGATGTCTTGTGATTGTCTGTGCACGTAGAGGCACTATTCTCTCTGGATCTGCAGGTGTGCTCTGTTATTGAGGAGAAGTTAAGGATCTGTAGAGGGACTGGTAGATGGAGTCTGGCTACTTGCCGCCTTCTTGTTCAACCCCACCCTGAAAACACCCCTCAGGGTGTCACATTACTGTCTGACGCACAGGAAGAGGGTAATGAATCTGTCTTTCTCTCTACAGACACACAGGCAGGTGTTAATGATCTTCACCAAAGTCTCTTTCTTTCCCAGTGGTGAAGCTGGCTATCACTTTGTTGTCTTGGCTTTTTCCTTGCATATGGGCACCAAATAACCATAACTTTGGCCAGGAAAGAGCAAACCGTGAGCAAACACCCAGATTGCTAAATACCAGACAACAATTTATAGATCTATCTATCTGTCTAATTTATGCACACACAAATAATATAAATTTCTGTCCAGATAAAGAACAAAATTTGCCAAGTGGGAGGAGCAGGAGGAGTGCTATGGTAGGAACAGGGGTGGGGCCTCTTACAATAGCCCCAATAAGCCCCGCCCACCAGACTTATATAAAGGTAAACACATCTGCGAGTGTTGAATCTACTACATATTTGACCTTATTCTTGAAACACATGCATGTAATATTCTCTGCCATTCTATAATATTCTAAAACATTCTTATGCTAATTTTCCGATTCAGTTCACTGGAATAATGTATGTATTTATGTACAAATTCTGCTTGTGGATCATGAATGGAATCATGAATCATATTTACATTTTTTTCTATGAATGTAGGTAGCAGAGGGTGTTCACAACTTAATTCATATACTTTACAGTCTGCAGGTGGGAGTGATTGATTATCTTATAATTAATAACAGCTATATGTGTGTGTTTGTATGAATGTATAAATATTATAGTCTTATTTTGAAGGCTGCCATAATAATTCAAGACAGCTGCTTTGAAGTTCAAAATCTCCTCCTCCTGGAGGGAGAAGCTCCGCCCCCAAATCTTAGCGATTATGATGTCAAAAGGGTTGGTGTGGCCATTTTTCTCACTGCATCTTTATCTAGAATGTGGTAGAGTTACACGTTGATATTATACATTGAAGTAGAGTTTATTTGAAGCATGTTTTCTGCAGAAAATGATTACTTACACTTATTACCGTCTCACCAGCAGAGTTTGGAGTCTGGTGTGGTTTGTGGGACTGTGGCTGTGCAGCAGAAAGAACTGGAGCAGAGAGAAAGAGAGCATGCTGAACTGATGGACAGACTGGTGAAAGAGGAAGAGCAGTTCGAGGAGGAACTGTGGCTGTTTGAGGAGAAGATGAGGAAGCTGAGAGAAGAGGAGAAGAGAGTGATGGAAGAGAGGGAGATATTAAAAGAAGCGGGGAAGAAACTGGTGAAAGAGAGTAAGAGCCTGGAGACACAGATAAGACTCATTCAACATAACTCAAATCATCGTTAAGGCATTCTGCCTTTTAACATCACAGGAGAAATGAAGTGCATTTATGTGTTTGTATTATGAGTTGCATCCCAATTTGCATACTTATGCACTAGTCCATAGAGTTTTGTTGTATAAATATTGCGAGAAGTGTGTTCACAATGAAAATTCCACATATTAAAAGTGCACTTTAAATACCCAGATGATGCACTTAATTAACCGAAAAAACAAATGTGGAATATTGGACACTTCATGCACTCAACATCAAGGGGGAAGGATATCAGACTCCAATGTTGAATGAAAAAATAACCTTATAAAATTTATACACAACATGGTTGAGTACATAGTGCATAAGTACTGTACATAAGTGGATAGTGTATAGTGGGCCATTTGGGACACAACTTTGGGGGTCTATTAGAATAGGTTTTCATGCTTGATTTTTTTAAAAACCCACAATTTTCACATATTTTACATTGTTGCAGTACCTCTCTTCCCAGTCTTTTAGTTACGCTCTGGCCTGCGTTTCTCAAAAGCATTGTAAGCTAAGTTGATTGTAGGTAGAGACCATTGGTGGCAGTAGTTCTCCGACCTACTTAGGCTAATGGTGCTTTTGGGAAATGCAGCACTGTTTATGGTGCGTTCACGTGCTATGGTAATTATGGTAAATACCAAAAGCCGACGTGGAAAATGCACATGAACACCCCCACATGTGGTATTTTCCACTGGGCAACTCGTAGAATATTTTGATGCACGAGTTGCCGAGATGAGATAACCTTTGACCTTTTCAAAATGGCGGAGAGCAACGCGAGAGTCGTGAATGGTAAAAATTTACTATTCATGATCTAGAAAATGTACAGCATATTATTTACCGTTTGAGTTTTGATAAATCATTTTCTTGCTGTAGCAGACGACTTAAGCAATCTAAAATAGCTTTAGCTTAATAACAGGTCTGGACCTCCATCTTTTTACCACATTACGACAATAAAAGCACTTGAACGCAACACACTGGTAAAAACCAGTTCACAAGTGGAAAATATCATATTTTCCATAGCAAGTGAACGCACCATTAGTTCCCGTCTCTATAAACCCCCTCCTTCCGAAAAGGCCAATGTGTTGTGATTGGTCAGCTGGACCAATGTGTTGTGATTGGTCCATCGCTTCGAGCGTGTTTCAGAAATGTCACTACTAATGTAACCAGGCTTCACCCCTTGTTTTGTGTATGCCTTAAGCATGAGGAATATCGTATAATATTCGTATAATAGTAAATACTTAAGCATAATAATATGTAAATTCCTGGAAGAACCTCAAGACTACAATCTTCAATTGTAGCCTGTTTCAGGGAGTTCAGGAACAGTATGCACTGATATATAAAGACTAACTCCCTTTGTAGTAGACTTTGTGCTTTGTAACTTATTGCAGACCTTTCCATGCTCAAACGGCAACATCAAACAAAAAAAAAATTTGAAAATGTAAAAAAAATATAATAGGACCCCTTAAAAGTTTTGATGTGTGTTTGTGTTTAAGGGACATTGCTGTGTTTTACTGGCAGAGTTAAAGACAAGATCAGACCTTCAAGACCCAGATAAAGACCAGAATATTAAAAAGACCAGAATAAAGAACTAAAACGGAGAAAATGTAGCATATACTGTACATAATATATGTATATATATATATATATATACTGCATGTGTGTGTGTTTGATTCTTGTTTATAATGGTGAGATGACAATAACGGTCCAACGACTGGTTGAGGTAATTATCACCACACTGGAAATAGACTGCAGTCTAGACCCAGACCATGGTTATGCGGTCTCCAGACCAAGATCATGACTCCAACTCTGCTTAGTAGTGAATTGTACCAGACTATAAATCTTTATTTAAGGTTTTGGTGGTGACACAGCAAATCATGAGTCAAAAGTAAATACTGTGTCTCCATAAATGTATGTAAACTCCAGTGTGAAATTAATGGGGTGTTAAGGTTCGAGTGTTGTTCTGTTTGTTGACAAATCTTTAACATTTTCACATGTCTGTCACACATTTTTACGGTGGCCCAGTAGTGCACAACACAACGAAATTTAACAAGCCAACATAAGTTCACAACACAACGGAAATGATCCCGACCACTAGGGGGTTCATGGGCCTTATGTTTGCTTTTTAAATTTCGTTGTGTTGTGCACTACTGGGCCACCGTACATTTTGCATTTATATTTCCTAACTATTATGATCAAAAATCCGTTTTTTTTCAATTGACACAGAAATCACCATACACTCATTTTGAAAACACCACATGGTAACTTTGTCAAATATATAGAAAGACCCCAGATTTCTACCTTTAGAAAGTGAAGCACTATCTTTATGTTAAAATTGCTGTTAGAGTTTTAACTGGTTACAGGCCGGACAGACTGTGGACGTACGAGTCTACGCCGCAGCCTGACAACAGCAGAGTCCACGCTGCCAGCGGCACGCTTTCCATACATGTCATCCTCCAGCTGCTGATGGGCAAACTGTAGCTCTGCAATCTCTTTCCCTGAGGATTCCAGATGTTTCCGGAGCATAGTACCGCCCTGAGAGTACAAGGGAAATGTATGTGTTAACAGAGCACTCATTGTAATTGTAAATGTCTTTAATTTAGACTATCAACCTACACTACTGTTTAAAAGTTTGGGCTCAGTAAGAGTTTTTATTTTGGAAAATGACAGTTTATAATGTTACAAAAGATTTCTATTTTAAATAAATGCTGATTTGAACTTTTATTCATCAAAGAATGCTGAAAAACAAAAGTTACGGTTTCCACAAAAATGTTAAGCAGCTCAACTGTTTTCAGCATTGATAATAATAAAAGTGTTTCTTGAGCAGCAAATCATTTCAGAGTGATTTCTGAAGGATCATGTGACACTGAAGACTGGAGTAATGACGCTGAAAATACAGCTTTGACATCACAGGAATAAATAGTTATTTTAAAACTGTAAAAAAAAAAAATTGTAATAATATTTCCCAATATTACTGTTTTTTTCCTGTTTTGTTTTTTTGTCAAATAAATGCAGTCATGGTGAGCATAAGAAACTTCTTTCAAAAACAAAAAGAAATCTTACTGTCCCCAAATCTATATATATATTTACATTTAAAAAAATATATATATGATGTACTGTTTGTGCTCTACATTATTATTAAATTGAATTATAATCAATCACACTGTCATAACTTTTTTTTTTTTTTAATGTATTTTGCCGTAATAAAACTGCATATTCAAAAATATATTCTGAAAATCATTTTAAAATAAGTACAATCCATGCAATCAGGTTAGGAACCTGTTAAATACTCCCTGAATTTATTACTTATTTTGGGACTTTTGTTAGGCTATATTTCCTGTCTTGAGTGCCATGTTGTAGTTCTTTGTAGTTTTTCCCCTTGATTAGTCTAGTCTAGTCTAGTTTATGCTCTCTGCGCTCCCTGTGTTTCCCAGTTTTGGATTAGTTTGTTTATTAAATGTTCTCACTGCGCTTAGATCCTCGCCCCCAGCCTGCTTTCTCCAAATGTTACAGAACCAAAGACTAGGAAGTATTACCCTTTATGATTGACAGATCATAAAGGAATGTTAGGAATGTCAGATTACAAAAAAGCTGACCCATGTCAGGAGGTCGGATTCCGGCAGCCCAACACTTGAATGCCGCCCATACAGCTGAGTCATAGGCCTGCTTAATCTCTCACGACAAAAGAGATCAGCACTGCAAACCGGGCCCTGCAGGGAGGCAAGGAATTCTGCTTTAACAACCAGTGAGTGGAAAAAGTCAACATGTTATGCAGAATGTAGGATATTTAGCGGTTCATTTAGTGAACTGTTAGGCTATACATGGTTATGGGTGTGTTAAAATAGTTTTTACAATATCAATATGTGACACTATAAATAACATACCATAGCTCTGCCAAGACTGTAGCCAGCACACTGCATCTGTCTCTGTTTGCGGTAAATGGCCTGTCTCGTGGCAGCGGAGCTCAGTGTCAGATGTTGCTGATGAGGAAGAAGAAAAAGTATGCATACCTGAATACACTAAGCAACTTTAATTACCTTAAATCAAGTCACGTTTAAAGTCCCACTCCGATCATATTTTGAGCTATTTTTAAACATTCCCAGTGGTCTTTAAATTATGATTATGCCATTTTTAGCCAAAATCACAAAACCTGTGCCGTCTTCTGGGACTTCGCTTCAGCAGAGCGGCAGTAGCTCATTAGCAATTCGCCTCTGCGTTGTGGGCGGAGCCGTTGGCACGGAGACGCCCCTCCCCCTGCCCGTTGCTGAGAGCTCTGTCTCTCCCGCTAGCTTACACCCCAATACCGGTGGGGCAACAGTATTATATACACGTTAATTATTATAATCCGAAGTTAATCAAAGTTATCACCGATCACCGATCATTATTTCACTCCAAGACGACGCGTGTGGAGACGCCCAGTGGAGTTACTACGTCACAACTCCAGTCTATTTTAGCCGGCATTTTAGCGTCTGCTACTGATTCACAGCCATTTGAATGTAGAAATACTCAGAAATACAACTTTGAGCTTATTTTTCTCAAGGTATGTCCTCTAACAACAGAAAAATGCCACAAGAACATGTTAACACCTAGAAAAACATTATTTTCATCGGAGTGGGTCTTTAACTCCTCAAGTACAAAATAGAAGCAGAGCAAATTTATTATGTTTGTAATGTCATCACAACACTTTGGAAGGGTATTTTTCTTCCATTTCCAGATAAAGTTATGCAAATTTCCATGGGATTTCAGTGCCTGTAATTTGGAAAGTTCCATTAAAAATTTTTTTCCAGTTCAAAATAAGAGCATTGAAATGGAAGTCTTATGTGATATAAATGTATTTACTGTCACTTTTGATCAATTTAATGCATCAAAGTATTAATTACTTTCAAAAGATTAAACTTTCGAACTGTAGTGCATATCTTCATTGATTTTACCTTATTCAAATTAATTCTACAGAATTCTATCTGAAAGTACTTAGAATTAGATAATCCCAAGTATTCCTTTCCTCTCTGCACTGTAATCACACACCTCCAGGCTGATAGTTTCAGTGATTTTCTTCTGCAGGGCTTCGCTGGCTGATTGGTGCATATCTGTTTGCTTTTTGATGACATCCCTCATGACTTGTGAAATGTTCTTTCTGAGCTGCTGAGATTCACGTAGTACTGTTGATGAAGAATCCAAAGCCTGTTTGCACTCTTAACGATGATGGTAAGAGACAGACAGAGAAAGATTAGATACCAACAGTTGTTAGCTTATAATTTGGACAAAAAGGAAGGGTGAGAGACTTAAATATAAGTGTACCTGGGGTGAACGGTCCGGTGGGGTCAGGTTTCTGTGAGAGGGGTGAAGGATAGGTTTTCACACCCGCTGAGAGTGAGCCATGCTGGGGAAGCAGATCTATTACTCTGGATCTCTCAAAGGCACAATCCAACAACTGCTTACTGCTCTCAGCCAAAACCTCAAAGTAAAAAAACAACAACAATTCACCATGTTCTTTTTTTTTTCCAGTCTTGATGGAATGATTTAATTCTGAACATGCAAGTTCAACTTCATGCATTTTGTGTGAAAACAATTAGGCATCCGACATATCTTAAATATCCAGCAAGGCCTATTTTTCACCTTTTGTTGAGTTAAAGTCTTCCTCAACATGCTCTCCAGTTCTTCTTTCAGCACATTCAGGACCCTTCGTTCATCGTGTAGAAGATCATCGGCTCCATCCCGTATCTTGACAAAACATTTAGTGGAAGCCATGATTTTGCACTCTTTATTTTTCTTTACTCACAACGATGATATTCAATACATTTTGAAGATTCACATTTGTATCTCTTTGACTCCTTGTGGTGGAGTTCATTATATTGTGGCTACTCACGGTCTCTGTCGTGGCTGGTCGAAATGTCCTGCCATCAGCACTTTGCTGATTGACCAGCAATGCTTTCCTCAGACTGCGGAGTAGTTTCTCCAGTCGTTCCCTTTGATGCTCCACCCTGGTGTCCTCCTGCGTGACCCTGCCTGCTTGTCTGCGCAGGTGACCCTCCACCTCTCTCACACCCCGCATATATTCACACACCATACCTGCGCTGACCACCGCACTCTGATCACGCAGGACCGGCGGGGGAAAGGGGCCACTAATGATTCTGGAAGTGAGCTATCAAAGAAAAACAAAGCTGTAATTATCACGTGCAATGTTGGGATTTGTAATAGAATTCTACTGAACATGTACAGTTAATTTACCTTCAGAGTTAATTTGCGTATGCAAATGCATAATTCTAGTGTTTTCATACACTACCTTTCATAAGTCTGAGGTCATACTAAGATTTTTTTTTTCTCTTTTGCTCAGCAAGGCTGCATTTATTTGATCAATAATACAGTAAAAACAGGATTGTGCTTTATTTTAAGGTGCCCGTGTTATAGTAATTATATAATTAAGTACTGAGTAATAATATAGGTAACTACATGTACTTTCTATAGGGTTAGGACAAGGGTGTGGTTTGCGGATAGTTGCTTGTAATTATGCATAATTTATAGTAATTACTATAGTAATTATATGTAATATGTAAAGGACACTAAAATAAAGTGTTACCTAAAACGGTAATATTGTGAAATATTATTACAATTTAAAATAACTTTTCTATTGTAATATATTTTAAAATATACTAGTGCTTGATTGAAATTGGTTTCTTAGTGGTCAATAATCCAGTGTAGATTGGCTAATGGTCGGTATCACCCATAGATGGATGTATCACCTACATAATATCCCCTAAAAACTATATAATATCACCTTAAAATCAACATGATGATGGAAAAGAATATATGATGTTTGTGGAAAAATATCGGATGAAATAAAAATAATATAAGTTAATGCTTTAGCATTCCCACGATAAACTTTGCGTCCGTTAGCGAAACATTTGCGTTTCTTAGGAGAACGCGAACGTTTTGCGAAAGAACGCAAAAGCATTGGAATATTAGTCTATTTTCTGTCCATCTTATATTTTCCGTCACTATGACCTATAAAGTAACTATAAAAACAGGAAATCTGCGTTTATAAATTCAGAGGGCCACAAAGTTGTATTCACTATAAATAGCCAATGGGAGTAACTTTTTAGCCTACTCTATATAAACATGTTACGGATACAAACTTTAATTAATGTTGTTTTATCACGAAAATGTATGAAATGTAAGATATTCAGAGTCATAATAACATAACGTTCATATACAAAAAAAAATGACAATCCGCAACAATATGGTGAAAACGTCATGGGACGGCGCAACGCTGTATTGGCCAATCAAAAACCTAAACTGTCCGTTTATGCATATAACAAAATGAAAGGTAGGCTAGCTAGACGACCGAGGAGATAATTACATGTTATTTATGTATATTCATATGCAGATTATTGTTTCATACTTGAGTTTGTAAATTGATATTGTTCAAAAACGCTTTTATGGCTACTTCTGAGCTACTTTACCATACTTCCAGTGGATTTAGGTCGGAATTCATCTTTCTTTTCCGAGTCACTCTCACTGTGGTCCTTCTCGTCACTGCAAGCTGTTAACTGAGGAAGTCTGTGGGCAAATGTCCCAACGCTGTGGCTGCGGTAGCGTGTAGAAGAGTGCAGTTGATCTACGCGAGTTTGACGCGTCAGATCCGCGGCGCGCAGAATCGAGCGGACAGTCGCGTCCCTCCAGCCTTTAGATCCCACAGCCACAGCCGGAGATGCGGACTGGACGGACCGCTTCATGGTCACTCACGGTACTGCTGAACTACAACAGCGTTACCATCGGTGGAACTATCCGAATAACTCCAAATTGTTTGGGTTTAAAAGTGTTGGTTGTCTCCAACGCAACAGTTCCTCAAGTGACCGGGGACGCGCACAGAGCTCTGATTGGGTAGCGCGAGACACACTAGTGAAGGCAGTTCAGTCAGATCCATTCACACTGCAACTCAATCAGTGAGATCCTGTTACATGATGTGAGCGGGTCGTGTGCTGTGATGTAGAACAGACACCCTAAATTAGTCTGTCACACCATATCAATTATTAAAATTAAAAGAAGATTTATTTTGAAGGATGGATAGAGGCATGACAAAACATAAATGCTAGCTTTAATCTCAGATATTACAAGGCCCACTGAAGAATTTCTGATGAAATCCAATCACAATTTAACACACTACACCCCTGGCATTAATGTTACATATAACCTATACTGTGATCAAAATCAAATTATTTAACTATGTATTGTACCTTAATAATTACAAATTAATTAACATACTGTATTTAAAAATATATATATTTCAATGATTTGTATTAGGTGAAAACCTATTGAATATATATATATATATATATATATATATATACTTATGGTAGAAGTAGATATACTTAAATTTATTTTTTAGAAATGTGTAATATGAAGTCATCCATAAAAAAGTTCAGGTGCTTTTCAGAGACATAATGATCACACAAAGCACACCAATTTGGATATTTGAGGCTTTATTGTCAAACCCCTGAGTTCTCAAGAAAGAACCTTTAATAAAAGAAAACCTCTAGAACTGCAAAACACACGCAAACTTGAGGCTTCATTTTAAATGTGATTTATGGAGGTATGCATCAAGTTGTGGGGATTCCAGCTTACCCAAATAAAATAAGCAAATTAAAAAAACATGTCCTTTTCAGACAGTCTGTAAATCCTTCTACTGTGAAAAAGATTTTCCTACACTGGAACAAAGATAGCACATCCAAGTTGGGAATATAACTGCATCTCAAAAACAAAATCAACATGAGAAAACATTTATAAATACAGGACAAATAAAAGATCACATGGAACAGAACATGGGGGAAAGATACAGTAAATCAAACAAGAGAAAAGCAGCATTCAACATATTCAGCAGCCATAATCAATAAAACAATTTAAACATTTAATAATAATAACAACATCAATTGAAGGCTGTAAGGACTGTGGGTTATGGGAAAATAATTATTAATAAGCAAAGCATGTGTGAGTGCTGAAAAGGCACGTGTGTGTAACTATGTAAATCTTGGAACCACAATCTGACGGTGTGGGAAGTAATCAGAACATTTTATGGCTGTATTCAATCAAAATGACTAAAGCAACCTGTAATGTACCAATCATAAATTCATATGAACTAAAATAATATTTCATTATATACCCTCAACTTTCCAAAATTCAGTTTTGAGCAATATGTCAGAACATTCAACTGGCACTATTCACAACTTACTGCACACATTAGCCTGTCTCAAATTCTTTGACTAAACTAGAGAACTACCATAAGAATTGAACAGAATTATTAACTTTATCAGAAGCTGAACCAGATCATCATTTCTGCTAGATTAGTGCAGCAAATTGAAAGGCATCTGAGAGAATTTAGACATTGCTGAACTGCACAATATATTGTTAATTGACTGCATTCACAGAGCATCATTAAACTCACAGTATGTGTTAATCACACACTCACAGTGTGTGTTTGAAGGCTGTCTTGGGTCCAAGTCTGCTAGAGATGTTTTGCTTTAGCTCTGATAACACACCATCCCGCTCCTCTAACTCCAGAAGAACTTGCTATGAAGGGCAAACAAAAAATATCACATCAATAATTTGTGCTCACAGTGGATGTGCACACCTACAGTGAGCAGAGGCAGGTTCTTTACCTCTATAAGTTTATCTCTCTTCTGAAGATTGTCCCTCAGTTTTCCTTCCTCGAAAGCTCTCTCCTTATTTTCCTTCTTCCACCCTAGTTCAGCCTCCTTCTTCTCCTTGGTCTTCTCTCTCAGCTCCTTAAGTGTGTCTTTGAGTCGCTCTGATAGGGCAGTGATGGCACGTTTGTGATTTTCTCTTTGGTCCTGAAAGAACATGGATGCATGTTGATGAAAACTTACAAACCAGATCTTGAGAGAGCACTGGTTTGGACTCTCATTATTTAAATTGTGCCTACCATCCAATAAATCACAATCATTTTGTGCTCTGATATGTACTTTTAATATGAAAAAGTCCTAGCCTTCACATTTCTTCAATTTTATAATGTAATTTAAACAATAAATGTGATGCTCTTGTAATGTGGTGCGACGGATCGTGGTATAGCGCCAATGTTCATAGCTCGCTAGATAGCTAGAAAAAAATAACTCAAGATAAATATATGGGCTATATTACATATTTAATATATTTTCATTTAGCCCTTTATTATTATTTAATGTTTAATGTTTGAATAAATCTGTCATGAAAACATGTTTTTATTACAGCCACTGTTTAAATGTTTATATTTCAACAATGAATTGGAGTAGAAACAATTATATAAAAAAAAAAAAGATAAAATGCCTTATCTGTAACTTAAATGTCTGTATGGAACTAAGATTTTATTTGAGTGTTGATTATTAAATAAACATTTTTTTTATCTCAATGTATCACTAATTACTGGTATTGGCCAGAGCAATGTATGTACACACCACCAGGTGGCGCAATTGCTTTTCTGTTGTATCAAAATAGATAAGTCGAAGGTTTTGGAGATGTTCAGCACACTAAAAATGATTGGCAATGAGTGTTGAAAAAGCCACAATTGTGGAAATCAAACATGATTTTTATCAGACGTTACCAGTATGAGGTTTTCAGCGTCGGTTAAGGCCGAGGAGAGTCTTGAGATCTCCTGCAACATGGTGGTGCTGAGCTCCTCTCTATCTCTGAAGCTCGCCACCAGCAGAGCTTCTTTCTCTCGCAGCTGATTAACCAATCCAGACTCAGCTCCTCCCCCTTCCAACCCCCGTCCAATCAGAGAGTCTGAGAGTGCCTGTGAGGAAAAAGTGAATAGTTAACAACTGGAAATTATACATTAACTAAATCAACTGCTAGAGGGGTCAAATCAGACAGCGAGAGGCGAGTTTACACCACATCTACCTGCACATCTTTGCATGAACTCTCGAGTGCCTCCTTTAGCTGGGAAATATAGTCTTTGTTATCCTTCACCAGTGCAGTCAGGGCTGAATCTCTCTCTTTCCACACTTCCCATTCTTTCATCATCTCCTGTTGGGCTCGCTCTCGCTCTCCAAGCTCTACACGCAGGTGCTATTTGAAGATACAAAACATTGATTTTACTCTCAAATAAAGTTGAAGGCTGAATCATTTTTCACCACATCATTTGGTGACTTAATTTATTTGTTCACAATGCAGACCATAAAAACTATTGTGAAACTAAACAACATTGCACTTTGAGAGCTCTGTTTTCTGTATAAGAGCCATCAATGCCTCATTTACTAACAAATGTATAGCAGTCATGTATAACAGCAGCAGTCACAAACCAAGTGATTAAGTAAACATATGTGTGTGCCGTTGAATTACAGCACTGTTTGTTTAACTCACGTTAATAACATCCTGGTTGCACTGGAGCACAGTGTTGAGTGTGATGAAGTCTCGGTCTCGCTCTCTGCCAGCGTCCCTTACGGCCTGCAGCTGTTTCTCCAGGGCTTTCTCTCTCTCGCTTGCATCTGACAGCTGAGTCTCCAAGACTGCCTGATTAAAACATGAACGTTGAAATAAAGTATAAGAACTATGGATTGCACGTGCATCCAGCATTTCCTGGACCTCATTTGAAGCAAACATGAGGTGCTCATTTACCAAGTTAATAATCCCACACACAGCCAAAATTGGGTGTGTTAGCCAGAGCGTCACTGTATGCTCACACGGTGTACTTTTGCTATATTTTTAAGGGTCAAATCACCAGCTTAAAACTGCTTAAAATGATGGTCCTCACAAGTTGATAAAAAAAAAGAAAATAGAACCATTCAAAAGTTTGGGGTCAGTAAGACTTTCAAAAATGTTTTTGAAAGAAGTGTCTTGACTGTATTTATTCGATCAAATATAGTAAAACATTAATGTTGTGAAATATTATTGCAAGTTTAAGTAACTGTGTTATTTTTTATTATATTTTAAAATGTAATTTATTATTGTGATGGCAAAGCTGTATTTTCAGCATCATTACTCATTGTCACATGATCCTTCAGAAATCACTCTAATATGATGATTTGGTGACTATCAGTGTTGAAAACAGTTGTGCTGCTTAATATTTTTGTGGAAACCATGATACTTTGTTTTTCAATATTCTTAGATTAATAGAAAGTTCAAAAGAACAGCAATATGAAAGACACTTTTGTGTTACCATCCCTTTTGATCAAATAATTAATGCAGCCTTGCTGAAAAAAAGCATTCATTTGTTTTAAAAAGTCGTATTAACCCCAAACGTTTGAACAGTAGTGCATATACAATCTAAATAAATAAAAAATAAAACAATAATAAATAAATGATAAATGTTATTTATTTATATATAATATTTATTATTACGATTTTTTATTATAGGATGATGTTTAAGAGGACAATTGGCTCATAAAGTGACTAAATAATTCTTTCATTCCCTTTTAAATAATGCCACAAATTTTATTATACGATTAGGGTTGGTCTTTAGTGATTATAATTGGCTTAATTTAGGAACAACAGAAGTCTGAGCAGTCTTCATTTACAAAACTCATGCTCATCATCACGTCAGACCTCACCTCACGTTCACTGCATGTATCAGTCACTGCACTGGCCAGTTTTTTGATGAGTTTGTCAGTGTCCTCTGATTCCACTCCCTGCTCAGCACACAGCGTCTGGATCAAAGTCACACATTCCTGAAGAGAGGAGAGCACACAGTTCACGGACCTCCGCACAATCTGGTTTATCCTGAATCTATAATGAGTTCATCAATACAGGACTCACCTGGATTACGTTCTCTCTGCTGTGGAGTGATTGGCTGAGACTCTCTATGAGGTCATTTTTATTCTTCAAACTGGTCTGTATTGCCAAAACAGATCAGATAGGTATTAGTCTCGCAAACAGGCATCATTCCTAGCAAAATGACTCCATGTCATGCCTGAGGGACAGTTCGTGGCATTGTGACTTCTTGTGACTGCATTCCACAGTGTTATAAAACTGCTATCACCTCACACTAGAGAGCAACAATTCAATAGACTCGACCCAGAATGTACCAGTGCTGTGAAATTACAGCACTCTGTAAAATGCTGAATTAAGGTAGATCATAAGAGAGCGGTTAAAGTATTTGGACACTTATGTCACACCTAATTCATTGCATTATGTAACAATAAATCAAAATTCTCAAGCAAATGCTGCTAGGATTTCTCAGAACTAACTTCTCTCTTCTGAGCCATGTTTGCAATTAATTGTAAACAACTGATGTCAAGGTGATTTTTAGTTGATGTATGAACTAAGTCAGGGGCCGTTTACATGACACCATTTTCAGCTTAAAACGGTAAACATTTTATGCATATTTGCCGTCCATTTACACGACAACCGTGTTTTGAGGCCTCAAAACACTAACTTTTGAAAACGTGCTAGTTTTTGAAAATGATCCCGTTATCGTCTCCATGTAAACAACAAAAACATGAATTTGTGAAAACGGTGACGTCATGCATATTACGTGTTCAGTCTATAAATGGTAAATGTAGTAAATTTAGAGAAAAAAAAAAAAAAATTTTGTCGTTTCTAGGATCAGTGTGAACGGGGATCGTTTTGACAACGTTGTAGTCTGTACGCGAAAAACGCAAAGGACAAACTTTTTCGTTTTTACTACATCTTTCCGTGTAAACGTACCCTCAGTTCTTCTCAAGTTCACACAGGTGTCCCAACAGAACAGGTGTAGTTCATGACTATGAATATTTTATTTGGCTTTAACAATGTGTCCAAATACTTCTATGCAGTGTTATTTTTTATATTTTTAGTTTTCATTTTAGTAATTTTGTCATTTTTATTCAGTTTTATGTAGTGTATTTTTGTAATTTTTCAACTTAAAACTTATTTGCTGCCAAGGCAACATTTCTAATTGTCATGCAATTTTTTCATCTATTAATATTCTGCTTTATTTCAATTAACATATTGTTACCAACATACTGTTTTATCCTTACAAATGTATTTTTATGACACATTTTACTTGAAATGTGCATTCTATCTTTTTAAAAAATAAATTATCAAATACATTTTATATTTTGTCATCTAATGCAATGAAATTGAAATTCTTAAAATGGCTTAAGTGTCTGGACCACTTTTATGAATTGAAACATATTTAATCCATGATTAAGGCTTAAAGAGAGAAAAGCACATCAAAATGCAGCAGCTGTAAAACCTGTTATGAAAGAAACGCCGACTAAAGCCCAGGGCAAACTCCTCTGGTTTGGGAAGATTCTTGGAGGAGGTGTGTTTGTGTCTTTTTAAAAACATCCACACACACCTTCTGTAATATACCCTATAAAAGGCATCATTTGAAACCAAATTTGAAAACAAAAAGTCAACAGAAAGATTAGGAGAGGGTGTGTCTCAGGCGTGCTGTGCTAAGTCTCCAAAACACAATGCTCACAGTGCACACTTCAGTGCACCATACCATTAATCTTAATTATCCCTGCCCCGTCTCACTCACCACTTGCGGAGACTTCGACTGCTTGGCAGGAGCACCGGTTGCTGGTTTGTTGCTCTCCCTGAGCTGAGCCTCAAGAGTTCTGATGCGAACCTGAGCTTGAACAAGTTGTTCACGCAACTGCTTCACAGCAAGGTGCACCTTAACTGTACACGACTAAAGAAAAGAGGGATAAAAATGAACGGCAAGGTATGAAAAAGAGGTTGAATATTTTTATAAAACAGCCCTCACCTCTCTTTGTAATGGCATAAAGTCATCTTTTAGCTCGGTCAGGATGTCGTTGTTCTCTTCTTCAAACTCATCCTCCGTCCCATTGTCCCCCTCTCTGAAATGTAGGACCCTCACTAACCCTGCTTTCAGATCTACCTCATCCTTACCATTCTGCACGTCCCCTCTGTCTAACACGGGAATACGACTTCCAGCAGGTGACCTTACCGGCTTTCCTTCAATTCCCCTCAACTCTTTGAAAACGGTGTCTATAATGGCCGAATGCTCCTCTTGCCAATCAAACACATCAGTGCCGTCTATTGAGTCCAGCGATTGGATGGAGGTGGTGCGGGATCGAGATCGTAAAGAATGACAGGAACCAGACAGCGAGGCGGGGCTTGATCGGACAGATGGCACGCTCAACCAATGAAGGGGCATGCTGCTAGATTTGTCTCGAGAGAGGCCCAATGACGTGAAGGCTTGATCGGGCAAGTGACGTGGAATCCCACAAACGGACTCATAGTCCGAGTCGGACACCCTCAAGGAGTCACAACACTCACACTTCTTGCCCTGATGACACCGTTTCCCTGTTTTCCTATAATGCGGACAGGACTCGGCTTTTTCGGACCACCATTCGTACTCGGAGAGGGCCATGTTGTCCCTCAGGATTTCTCTGTATCCTTCCCCTACCGAATTCTTCCTGTCCCCTTCATCCTCACTGGAGCTTTCTTTTCTCTTTGAACTAACAGAGTGGCGCTGATCGTACATGCTTCGCACCCATCGCCTAATCTTGTCCCTTTCCTGAGTGAGTTTCTGGAGTCTCTCACTCGACAGCATTCGGACTCGGGCGATAACGGTGTCGAACTTGAAAACTCGCTCCAGAACGGACACACACTTGCCACACAAAAACTCCCCCTGACCGGCCCCGCGTGGTACAGGCTGCTCTAATATGTGTGTCAGCACACTGAGCAGGTCGATTCCTTTCGTAGGGGTGAGCAGGCCGCGGGAATTCGAGAGCGAACGGGAGGAGCTGAGAGATAAAGTGCTGCCTAGAATTAAAAAATAAGAACAAAAAACAAGTACATAATTATATTTAAATATGCAATATCATCTTTTTTTAAAAATTCTGATTATCTAAAACCTAAACAATACTTTAATAGCGCCACAAATTATTAGCATTTTAAAATTAGTATTTTAAAAATGATTCAGTAATACCAAACAAATGTAAGTTGTTGGAGATGTGCTCTGAAGTTCATACCCCATGGGCTGCTTTGTGCTGATCTGGGCAAGCTTCCCTTGCTAGAAAAGTCTGTTGGGGTCTGAGGTTGTGCCCCCTTTCTGTTCTGACCTGCATACAACCATCGCCGCTGGTTACCCTGCAGGTCATTCCCACAGATGCGGCATCCTTCACTTTTACCTCGTGTAGTCATCATAAATACAGCGGGTGACCTATAATAATATTAAGAATAATAAACCAATTGTAAAAAACAAACAATAAATAAATACATATCAAGGTTTTGACTAAAGCATTCCGAAAAAAATCAATGCACAATGGGTGCTGGTGGATGAAGCCAAGGCAATGATATCTGGCATAAAATAATTAAGGTAAATTATAATTTAAAGGAATAGATCACCGAAAATAATAATCATGATAAATGACATAAGCAAAAACATTCTTCGAAATTCTCCTTGAGTGTCCCATGGGGATAAAATTTTTCATTTACAAAATTATACAGCATGATACTTCCATCTGAGTGCTTTTAAAGCACTCTAGCATAGTTTATATACACTACACACCTGAGTAAATCTGTCAGTATTGTATGGTTGTTCACTGTTGTCCTTTGGCTGTGGTGGATCCAGTGAATGACAGCCCACTCTCCCCTAATGACAGTCAATGTTTACATGGGCTGGGACACTGGCCTTGAGCACTAAACACACACACACACACACACTTCAAAATATGATTATTTACCTCAAAGATTTTGTTGTTGTTGTAAAAATGCTTTATAAAACAAACCTGATGAAGAATTTAAGTGGATGCCACACTAGCTTAGTTCACCCAGAATGAAAAAAATCATCACAATAATTTACTCTCATCATATTTGTACAAACCTGTATGATTTTCCCTTCCTTGGAACCCAAAAGGAAATGACAAACACAATGTAAGTGACTGACAGCCACTTTTCGCCCCCCATTCAATGAAAGTGAACGGTGACTGTGGCTGTCAGTCTGCCTAACATCGCTGTTTCACAAAACGAAAGAACAGAGGTTTGGAACAACTTCAGATGAATAAATGATGACAGTATTTTCATTTTTGGGTGAACTATCACATTAAATCAAATCTATGAAACCTAGCACGAGCGCTTTCAATTCAAGGCGCAGATTGGAAACACAAATTATGTAAAAAAAAAGTGACGCGTTGGCAGAGAACTTTCCACACGATGACTAATCTCAGCAACCCTGCTTTACTCTCGTGTGCTCATTCAAAAATTATTTTAAACCTCTATCAGAGCGCTTTAACCGCAGCTGATATGAACGCGAAACTGACTTTTGGCTTCACGGAATGTCAGAATGACCCAGCAGAGGACAAAACATGATATGATAGACCAAACAACTCTTCAACACAGTCGTCAACTGACCTGATAAGTTTCGAGAATCGAAAATATCCCAGTACAATAGCAAAAGTACAGATTAAGTCGCTTACCGACGCTCAGGAAGTGTTTCGTCGGTCTCGAACAGGAGCTCTCGGTCTCGCGCGTCCGAACCGGAGTGGCAGTCGCCGCGCGCCCACTCTACCTTGCTGACGTCATCATAAATACCTGTTCAAGCCCGCAGCTGCGTGGCGCACTCCAGCTGTTTGCACGACCATGCGCATTAAAGACGAGATTTAACTAGGCTGTATACAAATACAGAAAAAAATAACATTTTTGTGCATTATTGTTACAATTTAAAATAATGGTTTACTATTTGAATATTATACAATATCCTAATTTATTTCTGTAATGCAACACTGAATTTTCGTCATCATTACTCTTCAGTGTCACATGATCCTTCAAAAATTATTCTAATGTGCTTATTTATTATGTTGTGCTGCTTAATATTTTTTATAACCTGTTGTACTTTTTTCAGGATTCTTTGATGAATAAAAATTAAAGAAAAGAAAAAAGAACAGCATTTATTTAAAATATAAATCTTGTGTAAAAATATAGGCTATTCTAGTGTTCAAAAGTTTGGGGTCAGTGATTTGTTTCTTTCTTTTTTTGAAAGTACTTTTATTCATGCAGCAAGGATGTGTTAAATTGATAAAAATTGATTGTGAAGATTTGTATTGTTAGAAAAATATATATATTTTGAATACATATAAAAAAGTTAATTCTTTTTTTAACTTTTTATGCATCAACGAATCCTGAAAAAAGTAATATACAGTAGGTTATAAAAAATATTAATCATCACACAACTGTTTCCAACATTGATAAAACTGAGTATCAAATTAGAATGATTTCTGAAGGATCATGTGACACTGAAGACTGGAATAACAGATGCTGAAATTTCAACTTTGCATCACAGAAATAAATTATATTTTAAAGTATATTTAAATAGAACCATTATTTTAAATTGTAATAATATTTCACAAATGATTTGTCCTTTTCTGTATTTTTGATCAAATAGGCCAAACTTGGATGTCTTTTCCAGTAATAAACAAACACTGTTAATTTGTTTTGATTGATACTGTACTAATTGCAGGCTTGATGAGCATAAGAGACTTCTTTCAAAAACATTAAAATAATGTTTCCAGTAATGTTTATATATACAAATATATGAACACACACACATTTTCTTGCAATCATTATACTTTTTTGATAACAATTTAATAATTTATTTTTATTAAAACAAAATTTTAGTCATGTAGTATCTCTATAAATAGAATTAGAAAACTAACAAAACAATCTGCTCACAATATTCAAACTGATTTTACATAATAGAAAACTAAACACCAACTGCAGAAAATCATCCATTGTCTACACAGTACACAGATAATTAATTATCACATTCTGTTATAAGCAAAAAAATATCTCAGGTGATTAACAAGAGTACAATCCTAATCTGCACAAGACATGATTACATTCAGGATTGTGCACATGCATGTGAGGCCATCAGTTTGTTTCTGTCTCTGTAGATTAGGTGAGCCACTTGTCTATGCAATTCTGGTAGACTGTGAGGTTCGAATGCCAGGATGTATGGTGAACACCAGGGACGACACACTTGACCACAGCTCCTTTTGAGTTTAATGTTTTCAGGCCAAAAGCATCTCTTAGATACCACTGGGGAGAGTGGAAATGGTTAGGATTACTAAAATGCACTAGCAAATACAAACCATGGACAACTTAAACTAATTAATGACCAGAATATGAATGCTTCCACTTACATCCTGCTTTTCCATCTCAACCACCGTTTCATTAGTGTCATAAAACCCAAAAATACTGTGGGGGGAAGAAGAGATTAACAGTAAAAAGATATGAAACGACCGAGTGTGTTTTATTCAGGACCTACATTTTAGAGATGGCAAACATGCTTTAAAAAGGCACCACATAATCCTATTAGACCTTTTAAAGTTCAAACGCCACTTTAAATATTTCTCACATTCATTCCAGTCGGCTGAACTGACGCAGGTTAACCCTTTAGCAGCATGTAAGACAAACGATGAACGTTAGATGCTCAATAATATCATGTGATAATATATATTATTAACTAAAACTATTTAAAACGTTTCTATTAATTGATAAATAAAGCTGAAATAAAATATTAATATTAGTTGGAAAAACTAGAAATGTTGGCTTTGAACTAAATGAAAAGTAAGATTTTAGTTAGTTCACCCAAAAATGAAAATGGTGTCATCATTTACTCACCCTTATGTTGTTTCTTTCTATGTTTCTTTCTTCTGCTGAACACAAAGGAAGATATTTTGAAGAATGTTGGTGTCCAAAAGATTGATGGTCCCCCATTGACTTCCATTATATATTTTTCCATACTATGCAAGTCAGTTCAACTGTTTGGATACCGACATTCTTCAAAATATCTTCTTTTGTGCTCAACAGAAGAAAGAATTTTAATATACAGGTTTGGGACAGGTTGGTGAGAAAATGATGGCAGAATTTTGGGGTGAACTATCCTGTTAAACCTATAGCAATATTAATAATAATAATAATAAAGTAACAAAAGCACATCATTAAATAACTAAAAATAAACTAATATTAACATGAAAACTATGAATATAAAAATAAAAGCTCATTCACAATAACACTGATGCAGAGACCTTGACTCCCATGGTGTAATAACGCCGTCATCTGGTCCGCCGATCAGCACCAGTGTCTCTATGCGCAGGAAGCTGTCTCGCCACGCTGAGAGGGAACAGAAGCACAACATAGCACGACTCAAGGCCACTGAACAGAAAGTGCACAAACAACCATCTGAGTTGCACATATAATAGTGTAATCTTAAATTACCTGATAAATTGGCATGCTTTATCTCTCCATTGAGTGGAGCCAGATAGTTGCTGCTCTTTAAGTATTTCTCTCTTTGGTGTGGATCTACAGAGAAAAAAAGGCAAAGAATATAAGATTCACTGTAAATCAAATGAAATGCAGAACAGTGAACACATTGTTGCGTGAAAGTGACACATCTGCTTACCATTCCAGTAGTTGCAGATAGATATTTTTTGTCCATGTGTAGTGTAACAAAAATAGTACAGTCTTGACTTGATGAATTTAGGGAAAAAGTATTTCAAATAACTCGAATCTGAAGAGGCATGGACAAAGCACTTTATTAATGTGTTTGAAGTTTCTTTAGAGAAATCAGATGTTGTGGTGTGTAGTTTAGGGAGGATTTGACTGACCTCCATACTGGCCAGCTAATGGTGAAGACAGGAATATCAGAGAGTGAACATTGTGTGTAGGAAGGGTAGCAAGAACTCCTCGACATATCAAACCACCTGAGAACATTTTTTTGTTCAGCGAGGACACATTAAATTGATCAAAAGTGACAGTAAAGATTTTATATTGTAACAAAAAAATGTTTTTTTTTTAAATAAATGCTGTTCTTTTGAACTTTCTATTAATTGTAGAATGCTGAAAAAATGTATCACAATTTTCACAGAAATATTAAGAATAATGGAGCTGCTGAAAATTCAGATCTGCCATCAGAATAAATTACACTTTCAAATATACTCAAATATAACATAGTTCATTTAAATTGTAATTTACTGTTTGTACTGTAATTTTAATCAAATAAATGCAGCCTTGGTGAGAATAAGAGCCTTAAAAATATATATTTTGAATGGTAGTGCATATATAACAACAGCTTATGATTAGATGAATGAGTTTAGATGACCTTGTGAGAAGCAGATGAGATGGACACCATCTTCAGCGCTCTTCATGATGGGTCTGATGGCCTCTCTGAAGCTCTCTACCTGTTGCCACAGTGGCTTCATACTGGCTATGTAGTCATACAGGGCTATTGTGGTCACATTGGTACCTGGATGAGACTAAGACAGTGAAAAGAGAAGTTAGTGAGTTTCAACTTAGATATAAAAAAGGAGAACTATGCACAAGTGTGGTGATTTGAAACCGAAAAACGGTTATGCAAGTAAAACCTTAGATTGTGATTTTAATAAGGTAGGTGTTTTTTTTTGTTTTGTTTTTTACCCAAAATGTACCCATTCAAAAATGTTATGCAAGTTTTATGTCGTTTTATTGTATGTAGTTTTATAGAGGAATTTGTTTGGAAATGAGAAATGTAATAAAAAAAAATAGAAGAGCATTTATGTTTCTTAAATTAAAATTACCCCCACACACACATTTCACAAAATACTGTATATAAAAGATTGCATAGGAAAAATGTTATGCAACAAAATGCAGTGTGTAGTTAAACTAATTAAAAATAGAAGAGCATTTATGTTTCTTAAATTACCCCCACACACACATTTCACAAATACTGTATATAAAAGATTGCATAGCAAAAATGTTATGCAAAAAAATGCAGTGTGTAGTTAAACTAATTAAAAATAGAAGAGCATTTATTTTGATAGATCGATCGATCGATCGATCGCTCGATCGATCGATAGATAGATAGATAGAGATAGATAGATAGATAGATAGATAGATAGATAGATAGATAGATAGATAGATAGATAGATAGATAGATAGATAGATAGATAGATAGATAGATAGATAGATAGATATCAATATCTTAGCCTACCTGATGGATATATTTCGCCAACATCTCGAACTGTTTGGGTCCATCAAATATCCCGTGAACAATAATTACTGGTCTGTATCCCATGACGGAGGACAACAGTAATATAGCACATATAATAACACATGGTCTGCAGCCATCACTCATCAATCCCCCCATTGAGCTACTCCAAACAACGTCTCTCACGAGTCACAAAAAATCTATAAACTGAAACCAAATATTTATTTTAATTAACCAAAATTATATTTGGTATCCAAGTAGACTGTTCTAACAGTGCATGTCAAGTTCTGCCAAAAGATTTGAGCCTCGTTCTATCTCAGGCGTTTATAAATATACGTTGTTCCGCATGTGATGTTTTGTCAGGGTTGAGGTGATGCTTTTATAGACCTCTTCCTGTCTAATCAGTTGATGTGGTTTAACTGAAGAAATGAAAGCAAAATATTTTTACGTTATTACAAGAGAATGTTTCGCATTGTTTATTACCTTTATTTTAATGCAATCCATTAATACAAGAGCCAGCAGTTTTTCAAACTTTGTTGAGCATTGGGCTACATCTATCGAAAGCAGCTCGTCGTCGATTAGACTGAAAATACATTATCCTAATGAGCTATTGAACATTCTTTGCAAAATATACACTACCGTTAAAAAGTTTTGGATCGGTAAGAATTTTTTTATGTTTTTAAAAAAAAGTATGCTTCTGCTCAATAAGGCTGCATTTATTTGATTGAAAATACCAAACAAAAAAGTAATAGGCCATTGTGAAATATTATTACAGTTTAAAACAGCTGTTTTCTATGTGAATACAGAGCCGGCCTGAGCCTTTTGGGGGCCCTAAGCAGAATTTGATTTGGGGGCCCCCTCCCACTACGCGGAGTCACCTGTGCTTGACGATTATTGACACAAATATCCCGCAATAATGATACATTATAAACTACTACAGTGAGGTTATGTATTAATACAAAATAAATACTTAATAAAAAATAGATAGCCTACTTAACCCTTTAAGTGTCACCCCCCTTTTTTTGAATATACATGAAAATGCACATTTCGAACTTAAATGGTTGTAATTCAAGAATGCTTTGGAATATAGACGTAAGATTGGTCTTGTTTTAAAGAATACATTTGGCAGATTTTTGTAGAAGTGAAATAAATTAAGAAAGTGAAACAGAAAAAAAGTTATAGAAGTTTGAGTTTATGAAAATGTACAATGTAAAAATTTTAATTATTCATTTTTTATATAAAATACCTATTTTCAAAACCTGGGCGACTCTAAAACTGCAAAAAAAATCAAAGCCAAAAATCTGAACAAGTTGTGTTTCAAATTTTAGGTTGATATCTCAAAAAATGAGCTTTCAGTAAGATTTTGTTTGGGTGCAGTACCAAACTTTTTCACTAGATGACAACCAGACTCCATTACTGCCCATATAAGGGCGCCTCCATTTCCATATGTGTTTTGAGTGATATGAACCATTATTTCCACAATTTTCATACAATTTATGAAGTAGACATCCTATTCAGAAGTAATATGAGAAGTTTGGCAGATTTTGATATGATTTCAACCTCTAAGAAACATAAAAAGAACACGCATGTGCGTTTTAGCTTCCTGCCACATCATATAATTTTTTGTCTTTATATAAAAAAAAAAAATCAGACCTTTTTTTTAAATAATTGAATGGATGCTATCTTTTGAACTCTTGGCATGAAAACAAACTGAGGTTTCTACCCTTCTTTCATGATTTTTCATGTTCATCACTATTTCAAAATAAAGGTCTAAGAGTATGAAAATATTATTGTTGCGAATTGATAAATTACGGCTCCTCTGTAATTTATTTTGAAAACCAATCACCAAATATGGAAACTAGAGATTGTAAGCTTTCAGATGATATATAGTTTGTCAAGATTAGTTTAGGTTTAGTATTGGATATTACTGTTTTAAAACCGGTGGGCCCGTGACACTTAAGGGGTTAAATAAAAAAGTTTTAACTTTTACTTTACTCTTTTACTAACTCTTTGAAACTTCTTAAAACAAACTCAAAACATATCAAATAAATTATTTGCTAATATAATGACACAACTGAGAAATCAGAAACATAATAAGAGCAAGGGTTCAACAATGACAATTATTGTTGAAAACTGTAAAAATATTATTAGCCTATTGGGTGTGTTAGCCTATGTATTAACTGTCTTAATACAGTGTAACTTTTTTTGATTATTATTGTAACAGACCTTGTTGGATCATACTGGCGCTCGTTGTATGTGTGTATGCAATGTATTTTTCCCCTCGGGGCTTGCCGTAGATAGGAATGGGTCAATTGCTGCACAAAACATACCGTAAATAATCATGCAAATATAGTTTTATCTTGCTCTTTTTATCCTCCTCTGTCCTTTTCTTCTTTCTATTTTCGGCACCAGAGGGATACGTCCTTTTTTGTGACATGGCTTAACATTACCGTGACTATGCGCAGTTGCGCACGAATCGTCTATGCACGCGCGAGGTGTCTAGATTATGCGCATGACTTAAACGCTGGCAGACACAGCAGCAGTTGTAGGCAGATATATTGATCATGAAATCAGAATTTTCTTGTCTCGAATTATTCATTCATTCATTCATATTCATTAATTAATTTATGTCACTTGTTTAAGTCATCTTAAAAAAAAATATATTTTTCGACTCGATTGGGGGGCCCCCTGGTGGCAAGGGGGCCCCAAGCAGCCGCTTAGTTCGCTTATGCCTCGGGCCGGTGTTGTGCCGATGATGTCATGTTGACTCCCTGCCAAATTATTACCCCCCTAGTTGAAATCAGTACCTGATTGCCTAATCCTAACCCCACCCCTAATCCTAACCCCTCCCCTAATCCTAACCCCTCCCCCACAACTAATCCTAAACCTACCATACTAGGGGGGTAATAATTTGGCGGGGGTCAGAATTCGCCACCACACCGGCCCTGTGTGAATATAATAGTAAAGTGTAATTTATTCCTGTGATCAAAGCTGAATTTTCAGCATCATTACTCCAGTCTTCACATGATCCTTCAGAAATCATTATAATATGATGATTTGATGCTCAAGACATATTTCTCATTATTATCAATGTTGAAAACAGTTATTTACATTTTATTTCAAGATCCTTTGATGAGTAGAAAGTTCAAAAGAACAGCATTTATCTGAAAGCACTTTAAACACAATACTGTTCAAAAGTTTGGGGTCAGTAAGAATTTTTATTTTATTTTTTGGGGGAAATAAATAAAAGAAATCAATACTTTTACTCATCAAGGATTAATTAAATTCATCAAAAGTTACAGTAAAGACATTATAATGTTACAAAAGATTAAATAAATGCTGTTCTTTTGAACTTTCTATTCATCAAAGGATCCTGAAAAAATTGTACACAACTCTTTTCAACATTGATAATAATAATGAATGTTTTTTTGGAGTATCAAATCATCACATTAGAATGATTTCTGAAGGATCATGTGACACTGAAGACTGGAGTAATGATGCTGAAAATTGCAACTATTTTTAGGGAAACGCACAGCTAAAGTACTTCCAGGCAGGGCGAATATTTTTAGGGAAACGCACAGCTAAAGTACTTCCCGGCAGGGGTGACCGCATTACAGTTCCATATCACTTTGCTAAATGATTTCAGTTATTTCAAAGGTCCTACAGACTACAACAGCAAATAAAACCAAAACCCTCAATGACACTGACCAAGCCCATAAATATAGTAGACAATAGGATAAAAATTGTTTTTTTGCACATACACCTTTTCTCCTGCTCTCTCTCCCATTTAAACGCACACAGTATATAGTAGGGAGGTTAAGCCCAAAAAATAGGCCTTTGACTTCAAGTCATGATGCAAAGGTCTCCTTTGGTATGGAAGTACCTTAGGGTCATACAAATAAATGTATCCTAAGACACAAGTGAGATCACACTTTGTATCAGAAATAAACATGTTTTTTCAAAAATGGCCGCCAATGCGCCGAAAATACTCTAGAGCCCATATCTTTGCTTCTGTTATCGCTATAATGACAAATTTGGTGTCAAAGTGTACATTCTTGGGGTCAAGGAATCCAATAAAATTGGTTTCAAGTTTAAAAAAATAATAATTTTCCCCATACCATGACAATTGGGGGTAAATTGGCACATTTCACATAAAAATTGTCATCAGAGTGACTTTACTTATCTTTTCGTTCAAAAACTTTAATTTTGTATTTAAGCAGTGCAGCTACTTCTGTACATTACATTTGTCCTAAGTAGCATGAGATTTCGACCAGTCAGGAGTAGCCTATAGCATATCAGTTCCTGCAACAACACATCCCATCTGCACCAGGAGCTGTGACAGCTGTTGAAGGTCAGAGGTGACAGGTTAACACTTTGAGGTTCGTATGACTTTCTCATTAAATAATTTTTTTTTTTTTAATGTTAGATAACTAATAAATAGCTAGCTAGTTGACTATGGAAAAAAAAACCTTAGAGGGAAAACCTCTTTTCTCGAGAATACTGAAGCCAAAAATTATCCTTATAATTTGTATTAATTTAAAACACACTTGCTGCAGCTAGCAGACCTAGGCGAGGCAGCTCGCGCGCCTATTGGATGCTATGCGGCAACTGCTGCAACCTATCGAGGCACTGCTCGTGACGTAAGCACCAATGAGTGGGCGAATGGGCGTGGCTTATGCCTATATAAGCCAGAGCTCGATAAGATGCTCCTTGGTTTTCATCGACTGAAGCGAAACCAGATGGTAGCACAAGCACGGCAGGGTTACGCAACACTCATTTCCTCTTCTAGAGAGAACCGAGGTTACGTTAGTAACCGTGACGTTCTCTTACGAGAGTACTCTCGTGTTGCGTAAGCTAGCTTACGCTACGGGAATCCAATTTAAAACGCCGTGCGTGCTAAATCTACCACAACACTGACCCAAGGGCGAGCGCCCTGAGTTCATATGATATGGGGATATAAAAAGCCGACATTGGGAATGGGCTTAATAAGAATGATATAAGGTAAACGTGGTTACCTTAAATGCATAGAGGGTGCTTAACACGGTATAACAGTCAGGGGAGGCAATAGCCTGCCTGAACTGAAAACTTTGCAGTCCGCGGAACCGAGTCCGGCAGAACTGAGCGGATAAACTAAACTGACAACAGTCTAGCTTGGAGCGCGGGAACTTCCAGGTTATAGAACCCTATAAATGTAGACAGAGAGGCCCAGCCTGCCGCCATACAGATATCGTGAAGGGAAATCCCACTGGACCAGGCCCATGAAGAGGCATGCCTCTAGTGGAATGAGCTCTGACGCCCAGAGGGCAACGAAGGCTCTTAGATGTA